AATGACCGAATAACCGGTCAAAATTTTCGTCTAATCGATCATCGTAATCAGTTGGTCATATCCGGATAATTTGACTATGGATCAAACGATTCGGACCTCTATTTAAAACATTCATTAAAAATTAGGAATTCATATCATAGATTGTATTGTATTTTTGCATTTACTTTGAATGCCATGAATATCCATTTTTATTATTTACAATTTTTGCAAAAAATTAATCTCTAGGTATGCAAAGTACTTAGTTAGTACTTTATTGCGAAGTACTACGATAAAAGTCCTCCGAAGATTTATGACACGGTAATCACATTACTTACCAAAATTCCTATGCACATTTAATATATAAAAAGCAGGGGAGTGTGGGGGAGTGTGGGTGGTAAGTGAAATAATTTTTCGCGTATTGTTTATAAAAAAAGATATTATTGCTCGTCAAATAAAATTTTTGAGAAAAGATTTTGGAAAGAACTATCTTTTGAGTCTATTTATATTGTGTGACCCTGCTTATTAATTATTCATAATCACACACTCATAATTACGAAATCTTAAATCAAAGGGGCACAGTAAAGGAAACTTCATGGCACACCAATTCTCGCTCATTTTAAATCTTTAGAATTTAGGTCGTACGACTTAATTTAAATTATTAATAAAATGCATTCCAATTAAGGTAAACAACCAATTTTTTGCTGAGTTTGTTGGTATTTTAAAGAAAAGTTCTTTTTAAATAAGTAAATATATAGTAAAAAGAATATGACCTATAGAGTTTCAAACAATTCTATTACATTAATTAGTTGGTTTTTTTTTTTTTTTCCTATTTCTGAAAATCGTTTCACAAGCATGTTTTTAACATTTTTTTTTTTTTTTTTTTTTTTTTTTTTCAGAATAAAATAAAATTTTTAACTTCATTACTTCTCTTGATTCGTTTTTAATAGCCAGACTACGCAATATATTACTTAAACAGCTTCTCCAAATATATGTTCGTATTTAAATCATCATTTATCTTCAAAAAATATATATATATAAAAAAAAAAGAGATCGCAATTTTGTTTATCGTTATTGTTTATAACACAATTTAATATGTAACATATATGTGAATTTCCAAATTAAGCATAATAAAGAGTTATATAAATATTTTGTAAAATAAAATAAAAAAAAAAAAGAGATCGCAATTTTGTTTATCATTATTGTTTATAACGCAATTTAATGTGTAACATATATGTGAATTTCCAAATTAAGCATTATAAAGAGTTATATAAATATTTTGTAAAATAAAATAAAAAAAAAAAAAGTTTTTTCTTTTAGACTGAAATTATGATTTGTAAATTGCTTAATTTTTTTATTTTCATGTTAACCTGTCCGTTGTTTAGAGTTGAGTCATTTACTCCTGTAGGGCGTTATGTTCATTCTTCTGCTCTTGTTGATAAAAAACTTTATTTTTTTGGTGGATATTATGGTGGTAAATGTTCAAATGAAGTGTTTTACCTTGATTTATCCAGGTCATTTAATTTAGCTACTCCGCCATGGATTGACCTTACGCAAAATGCCAGAATACCATTCAGAAGTTGCTGGGGAACTGTATCGCTAAACGATAAGGAACAAATAATTTATTTATTTGGCGGATTAATGCTTAATGATTTAAATCAAGATGCATTTGTATCAAATGTTCATTCATTAAATTTAAATTCCTTATCGTGGAATGTGCCTAGTATCGCAGGAACTCCACCTAAAAGACGTGCGAATATACAAAGCGTAATCGATAATTCTGGAATCATGTATATTTTTGGTGGATTTACTGGAAATATATTTGGTTTACAAGAATCATTATCTTACAATGATATGGTCATTTTGAATACTGTTAAATTATCATGGGAAAACAATATAATCTATCCACCTAAATCAAGAGACCTGTATACCGCAACGTTATTGTTAAGTGGAGTTATTGTATATATTGGAGGGTTTGAATATGAGGTAGGCGTTGGATTCCAATATGCTGATATAAAACAAATTTTCCTTTACGATACCAAATCCTTAACTTGGTCAGAAATAGTATGTATTGATGCTGATAGTAAGTTTAAAATTTAAATCCTAAAAACTAATGATATTTTATTTAAGGTAGCGAAAACTTCAAGTGTTATTGATAATCGTGCAGGACATACGGCAGTATTAGGTATATTTCGTAATTCAATAGTTTATAAATATATTTAAATTTACCTATTTATTTTATAATAAAATAGCTCCAGATGGTAAAATAATTATTTATGGAGGGTGTAAGGATATTATAAACGTTCCCAATGTTCAAGCTACTCCAGATATATTTGTTTTGAATATGGAGACCGAGCAATTTGAATTTACCGTACCACCAATAACATCAAACATTGGTAAAGTTCCACCATCACTTTCATATCATTCAGCTAACTTGGTTGATATCTATATGATTGTAGCTTTTGGTATGTACTGTATAGTACTTTATAGTAATAATTTAATATTGAATCATTAATTTGTAATATATTCTAATTTTTACGATAGGAAATATTACACAACCAAATACTGTTCCATTACCATTAGCGAATCCTAATATTTATATAATGGATATTAGAAATTATACATGGGTTAATTCATTCGAATTAACAAATGTAACAACAAAATCTGAACCATCAACACCAACTGCATCCGTAATTATTGTTAATTCTAGTAGTGAATTAGTTACAATGAAAATTATATTTGCATCAATAGGAGGTATTGTTGGTTTAGTAATTATTATTACTTGTGGATTTTTAATTTATAGATGGAATGAAAAAAGGAAAACATTATATTCTAAAAACATTAATGAGAATCATACTTTACCCGGAAATATTATTAAGCATGATAGTAGTAGTCATATTCCTATTGGCTAAATTAATTATGCAAAATAATAACATCCTCTTATCAAGGCTAAACTTGTTCTAGTAGTATTTCTTAAATTGAATCTGTAATATAGTGCAAAATAAAGTATTATTGTTATTTTATGAGTAAATTAAAGCAGTCCTCAAATGTATCTAAATAATTATTTGAATATTAAATCAAATTATGTGAATAAGTGTTTATATAAATACATAGGAGGAAATGTTGATTTGGTTATTATTATTGCTTTAATTTATATATGAATAAAAAGAATATATGGAAAAACAAATACAGTTTAATAGAATATACGGAAATATAAGGAAAGTCGAGACGGTTCGATTCTACATATAATAGAAGACATACGAAATTCAGAGTGCATAATCACCAGTTAATATATCTATCTTCATAAAATTAAAGAAATCTTTTAAAAACAATAATTTATTTTAGTCTAACGCAATTGTCCTTCAATAAAATTTTTTTTGAATTATGAACAAAAAGTCGCGTCTAGTCTCGTGACTAGTAAGAAAGAATTGTACCTTATAAAAAATTAAATAGAAAATTGGAAATTTTGCAATGCGATATGTTTGAAAAGTAGGTTAGGAAGAGAGACATTAACTGATAAAAAGTTTGGTCTAATATTCTTGAAATTCACAATTGATCGATCTATTTGATTATTGGTCTATGGCACATTAATTTCGGTGTACGTTATCCGGCTGGGCGGGTCACTTTTTAAATTTTAGCCAAAAAGTTTTCTATGTAAAAAGTTTATCACGTGACTCGAGATGTTTTTATAATAAGAATAGTTCCAGTCCAGTCATTTATTGGTTTTTTTTTATATTCATTTCTCTGTTCAATTGATAAATTACAGTCGATAATCTAATTAACTGGACACCATAAAAATCTTAATTCTGGCCGAAATTGAATTTCGACCGGAGTTTATATCAACTAATTTACGGGTAATCGTGTTAACCTTACCTGATTATAATTGATCGCTCTTTAAAAGCAAACCAATAAACAATAAACCCGGGTCCCGTGTCAATTTTAAAATTTTAACATTACGTGAACCGAAAATGCTAATTTGCGTGGTTCAATGTGCGTATAATATATTTCTATTTAACGCAAGTTGATCAACCTAGATTGGTTTACGTTCCGGCAGATGTCCATATGCAATTTATTTTTTTTAGAAATATCCAATAAACCTCTGCACCGAGTTTGTAATTAATTGACTTCAAAATTTTAAAATTAGCAACTAATTGTAAATTTTTTTACATTTTAGATACATTATTTTCTGCAAAATATTTTTTTCATTCCGAATTATTGAAGTTTGTCGCAGTATCGAAACTAAGAGTAACCTTCACAAAATGTCACGAAATGACCGGCATTAAAATTTCCGGTCAGACTTAACCCGTGACTAACGGTGACACGAGGTGATAAATTTGTCACGTGATTTAGTGACATTTCGTGAATCACACCAAAACATGGTAGCTGCGTAAAAATATTGAAAATATTGAAAATGTCGATAATGTCAAAAATGTCATTTATATTAATTATATTTATTATATGTGTTAAAATAATTATATTAGTTTTTCGTTTTTATATTATATTTGTTTATATATTTATTAAATTTATTATTATTATATTTGTTATATTTATTATAAATCAGTATTTAGAAATTTTGTATATAAACCCCAAAAATCCGCTTTGTTCAAAAAAAAAGGTTGAAGAGCCTTGAGAAGAGACGTTCGTAATTTTGAGTTAATAAAATTCCACATTACACTTTCAAACTTTATCGTGACTCCATATAGACTGACTAATAACCAACTACACAAAGAATCATATAAAGTAAATAGTTGTATAAATCTTTCTTAGGAATGGCCTTAGATTTAATCGTTGTTTGGTTAACCTGGTTTCGGTTTAAAATCGGGCTAACACCGGATTGATCAGCAAAAAAATTTCCAAGTCCCCAGAATACTTAGTAAGTGAAGAACGGCTGTTATGTAACAAATTTCCTAACTCTATTAATAACCCCAATGACAAATACCCGGCAAAATAATCTGGCTACCATTTTTTTGGTGGTGACGCTATATAAGTCACATTTCGTGAAGTTTACGCAGGGAAATCCGAAACAAAACTCAATTATGCTAAAAGAAATCGCTGGATGTAAGGCATATAAGAATATCATAATAAGAAAGAATAAGATGAAAATACATATAGGTACTCTTAATTTTCATTATGAACAAAGCGAAATTCTCGATTTAAAGTTTTAGAATTAATGTATTTATTTACTTTTTAAAAAATGAATTGAAGTATTTCAGGTGAAAATCATTCAACGCCACATTAAACATTCTTCATTGACTGCAGAATAAATACATAGTTTCGCTAGAATATAAATATATGTATATTGTATTTTTTTAAAAATAAAGAATCTATTGACTTGAACGGTAAGATAATATTGTCCATAAATTGGTGTAACATTGAATTATTTCTTTGTTGAAGATAAGTAAATAACACGAGATCTTTGATATGATCCAAATTGTTTCTAAAGCCGTTTTTTATAATAAATAAAGATTAATTAGTATCGTTTGAAATTTTGTTAATGTCATGAAATTTTATTTGTAATGATCCTATCGAGGTTATATAATGGCAATTTATATTTAAAGATATAATTGAGATATTTTAGCCGAGATTTTACCAATAAATTTGATAAATTGATATTTTATTAAAATAATATATGAAAATATAAGCCAACTTGGTAATACTGTATACATCGCATCAGAACGAAATATTTGCAAAAAATAAAATAAACGCCAACAGGATGATCTAAATATTAGAGACAAATGTTTTATTTTGTGAAACATATGAAATATTGTAACCGTAATGTGATTTTAATAGCAACCTCAATATTTGTTGAAATGTCAATAACTATAGCATAGTATTACAAACATTTAATTTATTATGTATGAACATGAAACTTGTTTCGAATCTGTCCTTAATAATTACCAACCGATTATGTCAAAGCAAAAAAAGAAGCAATTCTGACAATGATTTTCTCTATTAATCTTTTTGTAACGTTGAAGCAATTTCTTGTTAAATTTTCCAATTAAAGGATTATAATGAATTATTAATTTAATAAAAAGTTTTCTATTTTGTCGGATTCTATAAATTTATTGTCTAAAAAAGAAAATAAAAATTAATTAAATTAATTAAAATCATGACTTGTAAAACACATAAATTTCTTAACATTTTCATTTTCATGTTAAGCTATTTATTCTTTAGAGTAGGGTCATTTACTCCTGAAGCACCTTTGGCTCATTCTACTGTACTTGTTGGGAATAATCTTTATTTTATTGGTGGATTTGTTGAAAATGCTAAGGATTGCACAAATCAAGTATTTTATCTCGATTTATCTAAGTCATTTAATTTAGCTGCTCTACCATGGAGTTCTCTTATGCAAAATGCCGAAATACCATTCAGAAGTTGCTGGGGAACTGCGTTATTGTATGATAAGGAACAAAGTATTTATTTATTTGGTGGATTAATGCATAATGATCTGAAAGAAGGTATTTTTCTATAAAATGTTCATTCATTTAATTTAAATTCCTTATCATGGAATATACCTAATATCGAAGGAACTCCACCTATAAGACGAAGAAATATGAAGGGAGTTATTGATAATACCGGAAAAAACTATATTTTTGGTGGACATACTGGAACATATTTTGGTACAACAACCATGTCTTTCAATGATATGGTTATTCTAGATATAGTTAAATCATCTTGAGTTATTAATACAATTAATCAACCAAACCCAAGACATTATTATACCGCTACTTTATTGACAAATGGAGTTATTGTTTATATTGGAGGTTCAGAAATGATTGAAAACGCTACACGAACAATTGACATTAATCAAATTAATCTTTTTGATACAAAGACTTTAATATGGTCTGTGAAAGTATGTATCATATTATCTTATTTAATAAACCGAGTTTAAAAACTTAAATAATTTAATGTATTTTTAGATAGCTAAATCTTCAAATATAATTCAAAATCGTCATGGTCATACGGCGGTTTTAGGTATATAATTATGATTTGAGAATAATATCTGTTTTTTTTTTTATTAAAATAGCTACGGATGATACAATCATTGTATATGATGGTGCCTTTGGATATAAGCAAGTTGCTCCGGATTTGTTTGTTTTAAAGATGGAATCAGAACAATTTGAGATGATTGCTCCGCAAGTTAATTCAAATGTTGGTCAGGTTCCATCACTTACAACTCATACAGATGATCTGGTTGGAAATTATATGTATGATAGTAGCTTTTGGTAAATATAATTTACACTTTTTTATTAAAATAGTTCAAATGATAAAATCATTATTTGGGGTGCTCGAAGATTATATGTCGAACATATACAAGTTTTCCAGATTTGTTGTTTTAAATATTGAAACAGAACAATTTGGGTTATTGTACCGCAAGTTAATTCAAAAGTTTGTCAGGTTCCATCACTTATAACTCATACAGCTAATTGGTTAGAAATTATATGATTGTAGCAATAATCATTTGCATTACTTACAAAATTTATAAATTATTAAACCATTTAATGTATTTCGATAGGAAATATTACACAACCAAATACTAATCCATTGCCGTTTGTGAATTCTAATATTTACATAATGGATATTAGAAATTATACATGGATCAACTCATTTGACAAATGGACCAGAAACAATGCTAATTCATAACAAAAATAAACCTGAAACAATGATATTAATCGCAACAATTGGAGGAATTATAGACATAATTATAATTATAACATGTGGATTTTTAATTTATAGATGGTATAAAAGAAGAAAAAAACCAATGAAACCGCTATATAGCCAATAAGTGATAGCTAATGTATACATTTTAAAATATAAAAATAAAAAGATACAATCAACTCTGGATATAACGAACCTGCCATTCCAGAAGCTTTGGTTCAGTATAAAGTGAGTTTACCAAATTGTTCGGTAT